TTTTCTTCTTCACACTCAGGGATCTCTATGATTCTTATGTTTGGTCTCTTTACATAATCCCACATTTCTTGTATACATTTCTTGCTTGTATGCAAGAAATGTAACATTTCTTGCTCATGTCTCTTGCTTCTGCGTTCTTTTTCTTCATCTGATTTGTTTATAGACATTATCTTCAAGCTCTGAGATTCTTTGCTCTGAGTGATCCAGGCTATTATTAAGGCTTTCCACTGTGTTTTGTAGTTCCTTGAATGCCTCTTTCATTTCCAGTATTTCTGTTTGGTTCTTTCCTAATACTTCAATTTCTTTAGAGAATTTTTCATTCATTTCCTGCATTGTTCTTGTGGCTTCCTTGTGTTGGGTTTCTATTTTCTCTTGAATTCCATTGAGCTTTCTTACAACCCATATTCAAAATTCTTCATCTTTCATTTTAACCATTTCGTTTAAGTTGGTATCCATTGCTGAAGAGCTAATGATTTCTTTTGGGGGTGACTTTTTGCTCTGATTTTTCATATTTCATGAGTTCTTTCACTGATTCTTTCTTAACTGGCTTCTTGGCGGAGAACTGGGGGTGCTAAGGCTGGTTTATGGCCCTGTCTCCAGTCCCCAAGGATCGTTCAGTGACAGTGCCAGGGAGAGGAGCACTGGTCCTGTATTGCCTTAGGGGTGTTTTAGCAAGTTTGATGAACCTGTTGGGTTACATCTGACCTGATGTCTTCACCTCTTCCCAATGGATCGTAGTGAGTTTGGTCCCCTAACTTAAGCTCCAAGCTGGTGGATTGTACTTGTGGATACGAATCCACTGCTCCCTAATAGCTTGAAATGGAAGGCAATATGTTTAGCTATGGGGATGCAGCCTCTGGCGTTGATTGTAATTTGCGCAGAGGAGCCAGTTACTGAGGTAATCTGTTGTCCCTGTGGTAGGCTCTGGTCTCCCAGGTGGGGTATATGAATGCCTCAAGCTTTGGGATGGGCCTTGTAGCTCCCAGGTGTTGCTTGGACCCTGTTCCCCCCTGAGGTGGGGGTAGGAACCAGATGGACTGCAGCTGGAGTGTGGAAGCCTCGCTATGGGCTTCTGTCGTTGCTCGTCCTGCCACTAGAGGGAGCCGCTGACAAGGATTTCAGGGCTATCTCTCCAAACCCGGAGGGCTGCTCCCGGTGGGCGGGACCAACCAGTGTGATTGCTGAGGTCTCTGGCCTTAGGCCAAAGTAATCCCATGGTTTTAGTTAATTTTGCCAATTTCAATTTTAAAATGCTACTGATACATTCAGTCTTTCCTGAAAATTGAGGATGAGAGGGACAGTGGTAGTCTCCAAATGTTTGAATAACCTTGTTTAATTGTTTTATAACTTGTCCAGTGAAGAGAATCTATCACCTGACATTTCACTGGGATTCTCCAAAGTAAAAAAACATTTTCCAATAACTTTTTGGCTATAGTAATTGCATCACCCTTTCAGCCCGGAAAAACATCTGTCCATTTAGAAGATATCTGTACTATTCCAAGTGGGTATTGATGGTCCCTGCAGGTGAGGAACTGAAGGAAGGCCATCTGTAAGAGTTCCAACGGTCCTGACGGTGGGGGAGCCGTTCCTGGGGCCACTTAAAATTTTTTTTGTTTTGAAATAGAGTCTCACTGTGTCTCCCAGGCTGGACTGCAGTGGCCATTACTTTATTTGTCTGATAGTTCCTCTTTTGTTCTAATGTTTTTTCAAAATGTTCCATTAGGTGATTTTGTTTTGTAAGGGGAGTTACCTCCCATTCTAATTTACGTGTCTTTAGTTAATCACTTATTTCTGTGTGTAGTCCATCAACAAAAGGGTCTGGCAGAGCCTCCTATCATCCTGGCATTGAAGACTGAATTATCATTGGAAAATTTCCTCTAGGCAGATTTGGAAACCCAAAGTGGATCCATCTTTTTTCTGTTTACAGAAGTTTACTGTTTCCTGGGTTTATGACCCAGTCTGTGCTCATGGGAAACACGTCGGGACTGTCTTAAAATAATAGCTATTTGCCCATTTTCCTGGCCCCTTTTATTCCCTGTTTGGAGGCATGAAAGAAGCCTCAAAGTCTGCAGTCGGATTGTGCCAATTTGCCTTTCTAGCCATTTTCGAGCACCCCCTGCGCCCACTGTCATATGAACAAATTGACATAAATCAGAAAGCCCTGGATCATAGGCTCCTAGAAGAATTTTTAATTCGAAGAAGGTGGGGGGATACAGTTTTAGATCAGGTGGAATCCATCTTTGCCTTTCGATTCCCTACAAATGACTATATCTTTAGGAAGCCTGGTAATTCTATCAGTGTCTAGAAACCTGGGGAATCACGGGTTTCCCCACTTGTAGACAGAAGGGTGACTTAGCAAGAAGCTTCAGCATAACCTAGGTATGCACGGTAAAGTCAGAGAACGCGAAACACAAAGACAGTGGAGCTCAGATCCAGGAGAGACCGAGCCCAGCGCTCTGCGGTCAGTGAGACAGCAGTGGGCACAGTGGTCTCTGTGGATTCTGGCACCTGGTGGCTCAGTGACCCACGGGCTCATTAGGGAGTCATCTTCAGATCTCACTTCTGACACCAGAAACTGTTAACAATAAAATTATATCAAATCAGAGAAATTTAAAAGCTTTGTTGTGCATATGAAAGAACAGTTCACAAACCAGGGAGCTTCAAACTGAAAATGGCAAGAAGCGTGCATGGCTCAAGCAGTTACGGCTCTGTTCATGTAGCATGAATGAGAAAGCACGTTGTTCTCTATTGCCATTGGCTACGAGACATTTCCTTAAGGTAGTTGTGCTGCATAAGCTTACGTGTGTGTAGCTGATTGGCTAGGAAGCTGCGAGGTCATGTTGACATGAGGATACCTTATGTCCCCAAACCGTCCTGAGATAGGGCTGCTTGGGAGTCCATAGAAAGCAGTGCTACGTGCCAAGCTGACCAGTCCAAAGCATTTATTAGGGAACTTCAGTACAGAGGGTGGGAGTGTTCTCTTGATGGACAGCAAGACAGAAGATGTTCCACACAGGCATGTCGCAATGAGCGGGATGGGTTAGGAAGTTTATAGGGGGCTCTAAGGAATTTGGTTCAGGGCTGGGGCTAGTTTCTTTCTCCCTTTCCCCTCCCTTCCCCTTCTCTTCCCTTCCTTTTTCCTTTCCTTTCCTGCTGTGGTACTAAAGCAACCCAGGGCTAGTTTCTACATGTTTAGCAACATGTTGATCGTTCAGCGTTTCATGCAACAACCTAAACAACTTTATCAGAGCCTGGGAATGTTCAAGGCTCGGTGGTTTCACGCCTGCGGGGGAAACAAGCAGCCGGCTGGCTCACAGAGTGGTCAAGGCATTCTGTGTTTCTCAGGACAAAGAACGAAAAAAAGTGGGGAACCAGGGGACCCTACACCTCGGCCCCTAAAGTTCCCCCGTGCTCCTTTGTTGTCAACTTCCACACGCCACCCACACCTCCAGCCCCTGGCAACCGACGATCTTTCTTCTGTCCCTACAGTTGTGCCTTTTCCATAATGTCATACAAATGGAGTCCTACAGAATGCAGCCTTTTGTGCCTAGTTGCCTTAACTTAGCATAATGCATTTGAGGGTCATTTATGTTGTGGCATGTGTCAGTACTTTGTTCCTTTTAATTGCCGAATAGTGTTTCATTGTATGGATGTGCCACCATCTGTTTACCCAGTAACCAGCTGAAGGACATTTGGGTGATTTTCGCTTTTTAACAATAATTATTCGAGCTACTATAAATATTCCAACACAGGCTTTTTTTTGTATGTGTGAACATAAATTTTCATTTCTTTTTGGTAAATGCCTAGGAGTGGGATTGTGGGGCCACGTGGTAAGTGAATATTTAATTTAATAAGAAACTGCCAAACTGTGGTCCAAAGTGCGTCACCAGCAATATAGGAAAGGGCACCTTCTACTGGGGGACAGGAAGAACCCCGTCCCTGAGCTGGGAGACTGAGGGGCAGAGAAGGGAGAGAGGAAAAGAAATGGGGAGAGCAGTGGGGGGACAGGGGCAGAGATGGGAAGATTAGAAGTCGAGAAGGAGGGACATTGGGCTGGGGATTGAGGGATAGAGGTGGAGGGGACAGTGTCTTTTCCTCACGGAAGAGAATAAATTCCTGGTGACATGTTTTTATGCCGATATTAACCCTGTTTCCTCCGGCCTCCCCTTTTGGGGATCTGCAGCCCAGTGAGCCTGGGTGCCGACTCTTACGTGTTTCTCCTGCCCCGTTCTTGCTCCTGCAGCGGGAGGAGCAAGAAATGAGAAGACCAGGGCCCCAAGAGGAGAAGGGACTTGCCTGAGTGAGGCCAGGACCCGGGCCCTGGAACCCTGGGTCAGGCTTTTGTCTGGCTGGTTCCTTTCCTACTATTTCAAAATGCCAGCCTGGCCCCCGAGGCTCCCACAGTGCCGGCTCAGGGAGGTTGAGTGGCTTTTTCTAAGCCACAAGCCAGTGAGGGGCAGCTGGGACTAGGACCTGGGGGTCTTCTGCCTCCTCTCTCTGTCCTGCACACTCTGCCTCCACAGCAACTTTTTCAGGAACACCTGAACTCACCTGGTCCTTTAGAGCAGGGGTCCCCACCCTATGGTGAGTTGGGTAATTATTTCATTATATATCACAGTGTAATCAGAACAGAAATCAAGTGCACAATAAATGTAATGCACTTGAATCATCCCCAAACCATCTCCTCTGCCCCCTGTCCGTGGAAAAATTGTCTTCCATGAAAATGGTCCCTGGAGCCAAAAAGGTTGGGGACCGGGACCAGCTACTTTAGAGCTCAGGTTCTTTACTTTAGAAATGAGGAAACCAGAGCCCAGGGACCCTGGGTAACTCCTCCTCCAGGCTTAGGTCTGATCTGTTTTCGAGCCTGAGGCCAGACAGGATGCGCAGGTCCTTCCACAGCTCACCCTTCTTGGTGGTGCCAAGGGCAGTGAGGCTGCCTGGCTCGGGCCAGCTCTGAGCCTCAGTGGCCCTGCCCAGGACGGAACTCCCTTTTCCCACAGGTGAAATTGCTGTAGCTGGTGCATCCAGTGTCCTGTCCGCCCTGACCAACAAAGCCATAGTCAAGAAGGAACTGCTGTCTGTGGTGGCCGGGGGAGACGAGTACCAGGTGAACAACAAGCACGATGACAAGTATCCGCCACTGCCTTCCAACAAAATCGTCCGGCGGGCGGAGGAGATGGTGGGGAGGGTGTTGCACTATTCGCTGACCAGAGATAACTGCGAGCACTTCGTGAATGAGCTGCGCTACGGGGTGTCCCGCAGCGACCAGGTACGTCCTCAGCCGGAGTCCCTTCCCCAGGAACCAGAGGTTCCCTCAGCTGACAGCCTCTGGGCATCAGTGTGGATGGAGACAGAAGCACGAAGAGGCAAAAAAAGCAGAGACAGAATTCCTGCCTCGAGGACGTTGCCGTCGGGGTGGGGACGGGGATGGGGAGACAGACAGCAGGTGGGCAGTGCAGATCAGCGCAGTTGGGGGGCGATGGCCAAGGAAGGAGCCGCAGCCCTGAGGGTCGCCCTGCTGCAGAGCCCTCCCTGGCCCCGGCCCCCCGGTGTCCCCTGACAGGCCTAGAGGCAGGTATCTTCACCTTACAGACAGGGAAACTGAGGCTCACAGAGCTTAAGGAACTTGTCCAAACTCATTCAGCTGCTAGGTATTGAGTCTCCAGTTCAGGTCAGCCACTGCACTGAGGTGGGAGTTGACCCAGGTGCAATCTGATCAAGGAATGCTTCATACCTGGGCCGAGCCTGATTTTACTGTTTTGATTAATCTGAAAGTGGAAAATGAGCCGGAGATGACCAGGGAATCGGCAGTAGGAAGTACAGGCAGAGGGAACCGTGAGCCAGGAGGAGGAAAAGCCTGGGCCACGCTGGCCAAGTTTGTTCTGAAAAAGGCCAGCTGGTAAATATTTTAGATTTTGTGGGCCAGGTGGTCTCTCCCTCGTAACTGCGGCTGTAGCTTTGCAGCATGAGAGCAGCACAGACTGCACGTAAGGGAACAGGCAAGGCTGTGTTTAAATAAACATTTTAAATTTATTTATTCATTTTTTACAAAGATAGGTTGCGGGCTGGATTTGACCCAAGGACCATAGTTTGCCTGTTTTAAAAAAACAAACCTGAAAAACCACATAGCCCCTCATATATTTTTAGGTGACATCAAACATTTTAAAAAATCATAAATGTGTAAAGGGTGCGAAGGATGGAATTTTTGGTATATTGCATACTGCATATGTGCTTTATGTGCATATTTTATTCACAATTTGGGAACTGCATATTTCATTCATTCCATTAATGAAAAATATCTTCCATGTAATTTAAATAGCCAAGCCAGGTGTTTTTGTCAAACCAATCAGCCAAATCAGACTTAATTTTGACTTTCAGAAAAACACCGACAATTTTTTAATTCAAATATCTGTGTACTGTTTTAGAACTTTCATTCTAAAATAGTAGACAGATAAGGCAGGGAGCCTCTCTCGACATGGTTCCATGTTTCTTTTGCACTGTTAGGAGCAAGGCATTCTGAAATCCTTTCTTACTGGTGTCCAGAGGCACGTAGACGTTAGCTTATATACCGGACAGTCAGGGTGGGGAGGCTTCAGCTCTTGTTGTAAGAAGGGGAGGTGGTGAAAAGGGGAGGCAGGCAAGGAGGATCCACACCTTCCGGAAGTGAGTACCCCCCAGGATGGAGCCAGGGAACCTGCCAGGCAGGTGTGGGCATGGGGGCACAGTGGGAAGTGCTCTGTGGTGCCCAGTAGGGGCCCTGATGATGGAGTCTCCCCTCCTTCGAGAGGAGTCAGGCAGAGGGTGACATGGGCTGCCTTATCATGCATCTAAGAGCACTTCCAAACGCTGTCCAGAAGCCACCAGGACCCATCTGGGAGACCCCAATTTTAGGGGGTGGTTGGCTTCTGCTGTGCTTCTGAGGGGTCAGAACTCAAGCGAGCAGGGAAGACACTTCTGTTAGTTTGTCCCTTGCCCTGGAGCCTCTCTTTTTGCACCTTGTCTCCTGCAGGTAACCCATTAAGTTGCTTTTCTTTTTTCCTCTCACTCCTTCCTTCCCTTCTGACTCTGCCTCTCTAGAAAGACCCCCCCATCTGTCTCTAGCTTTGTCTCTCTCTGTAAGAAAGTGGGCTTGGGAGAACTGCAGAACTCCGTGCACACAAACACTCCATCCACACTCCCTGCACTAACAGATGGCCAAACTCTAGCACAGCTTCTAGGAACATAAGGCTGTGTCCCTAGGATGACCCCAGGCCCCCATTAAATGCTTGCTGAGAAAGCTCTATGCTGCCAGGAGAATTTACTATTTGTTCTATCCAACACGACATAGACCCATGGCCTCCTTTTCTTAAAGTAGTTACTAAAAAGGACTTAGAATTATGAATTGCCCCTCTGTTCCTTTGAGGTGTATATAGAGTCATCCCTTGGTATGGATAGGGGGTTGGTTCTAGGGCCCCCTCAGATACCAAAATCCACAGATGCCCAAGTGTCTTATATAACATGGTGTGGTATTTGCATATAACCTGTGCACATCCTCCTGTACACTTTAAATTATCTCTAGATGACTTATAATGCCCAGTACAATGTAAATGCTATGCAAACAGGTGTTATACAATATTTTTCAAATTTGTGTTTTTTTATTGTTGTATTGTTCTATTTTTTGGGTTTTTTTTCCTGAATATTTCTGATCCACGGTTGGTTGAATCCATGTATGTGAAATCCATGGAAATCAGCCGGGTGCGATTTTATCACACCTGTAATCCTAGTACTCTGGGAGGCCGAGGCGGGAGGATCGCTTGAGCTCAGGAGTTCAAGACCAGCCTGAGCAAGAGGGAGACCTGGTCTCTACTAAAAATAGAAAAACTTAGCCAGGCATGGTGGCACATACCTGTAGTCCCAGCTATTTGGGAGGCTGAGGCAGGAAGATCGCTTGAGCCCAGGAGTTTGAGGTTGCTGTGAGCTAGGCTGACGCCAGGGCACTCTGGCCCAGGCAACAGAGCAAGACTCTGTCTCAAAAAAAAAAATCCATGGAAATAGAGGGCTGGCGGTGTATCTCTTACAACCCAGAAGCATCTTTCTCAAGGACCTGAAGCCATTCCTTTGAAATGGCATCATCAGGAAGGAAGGGCCTCTGTCTCCAGTCTCTGTGAGGGCAGAGTCCTAACTCTGACAGTTGCCAGCTAGCAGACACAGCTGGCGTCATCACATGGACACTGACCAACCTTCTGTCATTGTTCACCTCCCTGACTCTACTGAGCCCCACTCACCCCCTCCCTACTTACTCATCTCCCTTTAAAACACTCAGTCACCTCTGCACAAATCAGAATGGAGCTCAGCTCTGTCCCCCAGGGTCAGTAGTGACTGAATCAAATCTGTTTTCACCATTAACTAATGTCATGCTTTGTTTATTTTTTACACCTGGAAACATTTCTCAGTGTCTTTGAATAAAATAGTGTGTTTGTTCCCTTCTTTTCCCCTGCCACTCACATGGTTCAAGTTCACTGATACTCCACAGAAATCTGCTCTTTCGTCCCTGTTTTAAATATTTGCTTCCCTGCCTGTGAAGGGCTTAGGCACACCTGTTGCGAAGTCACTCGCCAGCTGTGTGGCTTTGTGTGAGTCCTTCACACTGCCCGTCCTCAGTCTTCTCTGGACAGCGGGAATGACAATGCCTACCACCTAGGGCTGTCGGGCGGAGGAAGCACAGTGCTGACACCGAGGAGGCAGACGTCCTCCCGCCCCCAGTCCCTCCTCCGCCGATCTCTCAGACAGAGTGGCGCAGGCAGGGCTGGGCCCACAGGATCACAGTGGGTCATCTTGGGGGGGGCTCACACCAGCTCTGTCGAACACACCAACCCTCAGGGGTCTGCCTCACACCTCTACCGCTTTTTCAGAGTATCCGCTTCCTTTTGCAGAACCCCTATGGTATCAGCGCACGAGCCAGGCATTCAGTCGGCAGGTACTCACGAGCACCTGCTCTGTGCCCGGCAGTGGGCTGAGCCCGGGACACTGAGAACAATCCAGATGAAGTCCAAGCCCTTGAGCCGTGGGCAGTGAGAGTTCCCGGTGGCCATCTCCCCAACTTTACATCTGCTTCAAGGCTCCCAGTCGCCCAGCCCTGAGCTAGCACGTCCAGGCACTGCCCCTCTGTGCTTTCCACAGCCACCCCCTGGGGGTTAGTTTTGCTTTAAATACCCACAGGGTGTATCTAGTTTCTCTCCATTGAGTCACTATATTTCACACCTGTGTCTCTGTTCTTTCGTTCAGTCTTCCTAACAGGCACCTCCTCTCCTCTTTCCTGGGTGGCCTGACCTGGGATCCCTCTCCCTCTGTGAAGGAGGATGGAGAGGACAGGGCCACATGGGTCTGTCCTGAGCTGCAGGTTCCTGGTGTATGTCTCTGTGCTCCAACCCCTCATGTTGACTGTGACCCTGCTTGTCTTCTGCTGCAGGTCACTGATGCGGTCACAACAGCAGGTGTGACAATAGGTGTCCTAGGAGTCCTGGCTGTGGCAGGCATCATGGGGACGATGCTGTCCAGAAGCAAGCAGGAAGAGGAATAAATCCAAGGAACCGACCTGACAGCAGTTAGTGAGGGTGGGTCTTGCTTAGCCAGCGGGAGTGGGGCTTGGCTTACTGATTTTGCTGTTTTGTGATTAGGAATGCTTATTTCAGTGGAGCCAAATAACAGCACAGAAGATTTTATTTGGGAGAAATGTAGCTTAGAGTGACTTCTATTAAAGACACGATTGGGCTCTGCTATGGACTGTTTGTGTCTTCTGTCCACCCCAAACTCATACATTGAAGCCCTAACCCACCTGTGTGATGGTATTTGGAGGTGGGGCCACTGGGAGGTAACTAGGTTCAGATGAGGTTGTGAGATTAGGGCCCCTATGATGGGGTCAGTGTCCGTACAGAAAGAGGAACAGAGACTAGATCTCTCTCTCTCCCTCCACCATGCGAGGACTCAGTGAGAAGGGGCCAGCTGTCAGTCAGGAAGAGTGTCCTCACCAGACAGCAAATCTGCCCCCACTTTGATCTTGGACTTCCCAGCCTCTGGAATTGCCAGAAATAAAGGCCTGTTGTTTAGGCCATCCAGGCTACGGCTGGTTGTGGAGCTGACTCACACAGGCTCCTCCCAGGGACACGGACGTGCGTCCTGGCCGTTCACTGAGCCTCTCCGTTTTCTCCCAGAGGGCTGTTGCTTTACGGTGTGAGGATACAGGAGGGGCAGAGGGGTGTCCATCAGACCTGACTGATAGACAAGGACCAGAGCCATCGGCCTGCCAGCACCTTGTGGCTGAAATCGTGTGGAGAGTCTCGACTGTGAACGTGACAGTCACCAGGGCTCCCCATTCCTTTTGCCACTCCCTGCTCCCCTTGATGCCAATAACAATGAGTATCATTCTTTCCCTCTGCTCTCCACGTCTCCTCTACCATGTTGCTTCCACCTGCAAGCGCCCCTGCTTCCTCACCACCTCTGCTTGCTGGGAACCCGGGTCTCTGATCTCACATCCCAATCTGCTCTTCTCTTCCCGCCGCCACCAAACGCGCCATGGGCCTGGAGCTGCACTCCCGGCTCAAGTGCCCAGGAGAGAATCTGATTGGCTGAGCTCACACAGAGCTCTGCCTACTGATTGGCTGTCCTTGGGTCACATGATCCCACTAGGCCAATCGGCTCTGCCTGATGGGGTCTGGTCACGTGATTCCAACATGACTGCGGAGGCAGTTCCATTTGGAGGGCATAGTGGATGTGCCCAGCTCCATGACTGACACCCCTGGGGCAGGGGCAGCCCAGGAGGGGACAGGGATGAAGCTAGCTCCAACCTCTGGCCCCTGAAGAACTGTGGGGAGCCTGGAGCTTGTCCAAGGGAAGATTCATTGACTGGAATTAGAGGCTGGAGCTCACATCTCTCATAAAATCTGATTCCCCAATCTTCCACTACTATTTGTAAAATAAAACGTTTGAAGCAAACCTTTACTTACTTTTTTCATCTCTCAAGTGCCCATTTCTTTGGAACATCAGGGGTGGTGAGAGAGCAGCAAGAGTCCTCTGTCCCTTCCAGCCCTCCCCTCTCCTGGCCAGACCCCCTTGTCTGTGCTGAGGGCCCATGGTATGAAAAGAAGGCCAGCATCTGTGAGGGGCCCACTGTGGTTACAGCACCATTTCTGTGACCCAGAGCCTGTCACCCACTGTGGCAAATCAAGTCGAGCTATGGCAGGGTCATACCTAGCTCCTGAGTTTCTGTTTGGTAAATAAACATAACCGCTGACAAGTTAGAATGAGTTCACTTTAGCTGTTCCCCCAAACCTACCCTCAGATTACAATGAAAGCAAATCTCAGAGCAAGTTCCATCACACACCCAGATATTTGTTAAGCACGTGTTCACTGCGCGGGCACAGAGCTACTCATCCATCCTGTTCTGAAAGCTGAATGAAGACACGATCCTCCATCAAACCTTGCCTCAGAGGTTCACTAAAGTCAGGGTTTCATTGTTCAAATGTCAGCATCAGGCAAGTAGAAATCCATCCCAGAGGCTGGCCATGCCAGGGACATTCAGGCTACATCAGTAAAGCACAGGCTCCAGGCCTCCTTCTCATATTCTGTCGGGGCAGGGGTGGGGAGGGTCTTCGCATCTTAGCCAATTCATGCATTAAGAATAGCATTAGTTTCACCTGTGGGAGATCATTTCTAGCCTCTGATTATACTGATTATCAAGTCCTTAATTTTTCCAAAGAAAAACCATTCTGAACATTCAGTATGCTAATTAGGAAGATACCTGGTGAGTGGAAATAAAGATTGCTTATAGTAGCCACTTCTCGCAGATACAATGCCAGATGCCTGCCCTTGAGGTACGTTTTCCTGACTGGAAAGCCGAGGTAGCTGGGGAGCTTGGGGGACAGGGAACTTAGCCTCTATTCCTTTTGTTTTTCGGGCAGTAGAGGTGAAAGGATAGTTTTACTAACCGGCTAACAAGAAAAAATAAATTTCTAACTGGCAGCCACTTAGAGTGGTATGAACTCTGTTCCTAAGGTTAGTAACATGAATATCTGTCCTACAGTTTACCTAGCAATGAAAAGAAGCCTTGCTAATAAAGGAAAGCGGAAATCCTCAACATTTGCCAGAACTGGTCACTTGCATTCCAAAGGGGAAAGAGGTCTGCAGGGGATGGGGGAGGAAAGGGGAAACAGTCTGACCCAATGTCATTTTAGATTCACTACCTAGAGACAAAAAGTTTTTTGAGTTTGTTTAAACAGCCTTGATGAGTTCCGGGGCAGAGAGCCAAGGCAAGAGCTTCCCCCACCTCTTCAAGGAGAGGTGGCACCAGCTGTCTCCCGGGAGCAAGAAGAAAGAAACCCATTCGTGTTACCAACCTGCTATGGGAGAGAAGGAAAATGAGGAACTCAGCTGTCCTCTACTAATGGGGCTACAGTCATAAATCTCCCCTCTGCCTCCTCTGCCTGCCCTGATGAAGAGTTAGGGTCTTCGGCCTCAGGGCCAGCGCCTCTCATTATTTCCTGGTGCTGTGTCCTCTTGCTCTTCGGAGAAAGAGTAAAATAAACTTGGTGTTTCTTTCTATCCTAAACTCTGAGAATTCTTTGTCGCCCATGTACAGACTTCACGCTCTAACAAGGGGACTGTGCGCAGGGACTGAGCATGCTGTCTTCTGGAACAGTCCCAGGGAAAGAGACCTGCTGGAGCTGCCCAGAGAACAAAGCAAACGGGAAGGGTGCACAGTTTGCTGGTGCCAATGCCAGGCCTGAGGGGTGGGCCTCGAGGAAAGGGTGGGGGGCCCCCCACAACTCTGGCATCTTGTCTCCACTATGGACTGGCCCCTCCTTGAGGGTGGGCATGACGCCCCTGCCTCCTTTCCCTTCCCAAAGCTCCCAGATCCTCCCCATCACCCACCACCCACCGGATCCAGTGGGACCTGTGGGTGGGCTTTGTCTTCAGGTCCCCCACCTGTCAGTTCAGCCTCCCTCTTTCCTGACTGCCTGCTGCCTCCCTCATTCCTTGACCCCGACCACCTACTTTAGCCACTGCCCCCAGCCAGCAACGGGATTCCCACCCTACACCCACCCTGACGCACAAACGCACACCGAGACTTAACCATCCGAGACCCATTTCTTCCATGTCCTGCCAGGGAGCTGAAGGCCATGACAGACTAACGTCTACTAAAATATCAATGGCTGAAAAGAGATTAAATGCCAATGTGTGTAGGAAGGCACACAAAATGCTAAACACTGAAGATCAAATTCAATACGGCAAATTTCTGGCACCTGAGTGGGGAGACAGGAGAAAACCAGGGCTAGGGGCTCCTGCTCCCAAAGCCTGCAGGGACTGATGAGAGTATGTAATGGTGACCCCGGTGGGTCTCCAGGTGACCCAGCCACAGGGGATGGAACAATGGCCCCTTCTCTGCGGTGGGAGGGACTGCCTAAGGCCTCCAGGTGCCCTCGACACTACTGTCACCCTGGCAAGTGGCTGTCCCGCTCACTTGCACCCTCCCTCCCCCCACTGCCCCGGCAGCACAGGTCTCTGGCCTGGGCAAGGCTCTGCAGCGCCTCCATCTGTGCCTGGCCACACCTGCTTCTTCACGGCTCCTCGCCCTGTGCCATGGCTTCAATCCTGCACTCTGTGATGGCTCTCCAAGGCTGAGGCCTGACAAAACCTGCAGGGGCATAACAGGAGCTGTCTGGGACTTTAAACATGGCAGGCGTGGCTGGTGCCCACACAAGGCTCATCAGAGAACACTCCAGTGGCCTGGCCTACAGAACTGACTTTTGGGTCAAATAGACTCGCAGGGGATCCAGAGCCTCTGCGTAGTGGCTGTGTGGCCCTGGGTCAGTGGGTTAGACTCTCTGAGCCTAGTTTCCCTTTCTGTCATCACATTGCTGTTATTATTTTAGGACAAGGTCTCGCTGTGTTGCCCAGGCTGGAGTGCAGTGGCACAATCATAGCTCGCTGTAGCCTTGAACTCCTGGGTTCAAATAATCTTCCAGCCTTAGCCTCTAGAGTACCTAGGAGTGCAGCTCTGAGCCGCCACGCTTGGCTTTTTTTTTTTTTTTTTTTTTTGTAGAGACAGAGTCTCACCGGTTTCTGCCCAGGGACCAGCTGCCCAGGATCATCTTGAACTCCTCGTCTCAATGATCCTCCTGCCTCTGCCTCTCAAAGTGCTGGGATTATAGGTGTGAGCCACTGCGCCTGGCCTCAACACATTACTAAAACCGTCCAACTTCCAGGGGCCATGGAGATTATGCAATTTGGGGATGTGGCCGGTGGTTCTGTCTTTCACTGAACAGCTGTTGTCCTCAGTTTGGGCGCTTTGGCCAAAAGAGAGACAGCAGGAAAAGCTGCGTGTAACATTCTGTCGTGCAGACCCTGGGTCCCTGTTCCTGGTCCTCACCCCTCCATGTCGCACTCATGACGGCCTCCTGCTCCCCCAGTGTCTGAGGGCCAGGGCTGCACAGCAAGGGCCAGGGTCGCTCCAAAAGGTTTGAGTAGATTTGGGTAGGAATAAGACCCTCCCAACTGATGTCTCAAATTAACTTTATTTTCTCTTACTCCAAAAGGAGACTTTAAGCCACCGAGAGAGGGAAAGAGGACGAAAGAGAGAGGCTAAGCCAGCTGCAGCACTGATGCTCCCCCTCCTTCCACGTCCCTGTCGTCCCGGGTCCCAACCACCTTCAGAGCATCTGGGGACCCTGGTGGAGGCGCACAGGGACACACCCCGATGTCCACGGTGCAGGAGGCCAGTGCTGGGGCTTCCCTGCATCCTGCCAGCTGTCCCACAGCTCTTGGGTGGGGAGGGGATGCCATCTTACAAGATTGACGGACAACGTCAACAGGACGTCCCTACCCCACGTGACCCAAGATTCCTGTTTCTCCAGCACCAATCACTGTTCTGAAATTTTTCTTGAGTCGAGAAACAGCCTGTGGAATGCACGCACACCTGCTCCAGCAACTTGTGGTCCTCACACAAAGTTTTGCCAAGACCAAGGATTGTCCAGAAGTGGTGCAACCATTTTATGAGCTTATCATGAAAAACTAAAGGATACTTTTATTACTCATATATTTTTTCCTACACTCTAGTGGGATCTAGTTCACGGAAGTCAGTCTGCAGGGGCCTGGAGTTGGTTCAGTGTCTCTTTACACATCACAGCAACCCACCTTCTGGGGGATGTTAGCCTTGACAGTGGTGGCTACAGCCCCTTTTTGTATCAAAGTTTTTTTCACAATCAGAGAAAAGCCTGGTCATGTTTTCCTATATATTAGTTAATAACTTTATTAATTAAGGAAACCACTATCTACTGAGTGCTTACAGTGAAGCAGGCACAGTGCTAGACGCTAGGGTCCCAGTGGTACCCAGAGTGGACTGTCCCTGCAATTCTGTTGAGAAGATACGTGACAGGAAAGTATTAATAGCTCACGGGTCAGCGTTCAATTGCAACTGTGAAAATTGCTATTAAGTGAAGGTACGTGGACCCCTGAGACTCCCAACGGGGATTTGCCCTGGTCAGGGAGGCCAAGCTCACCCTGGAAGGGCCCAGATGGCCCCAGTGTCCATCATGCTGGAACAGTTGATCCTGGACAGGAAACGAGGCCTGGAAAGGTGAGCCTGAGGTCGCAAGAAGTGAGGAAACCTCCTCCTCTTGCTGAGCCTTCTGGTTGTTGGGCCTGGACTGTGGATAGAGCAGCTGGGCCTTCTGCTCCACAGGCAGCCCTGGACGAGGCAGGCAGGGGCGCTTCTGCAACCCCCGAACGGAGCTCGGTATTTCAGCCCGGGAATTTGAACAATTAAAACTTATAATTGCTGACTGTACCAGTGGTAAGTTATAATTGCTGATTGTAGCAATTAAAGCTGTTCTCTTTGTTCTTCAATCTTCTGATAGCTCTGAGCTTCCAGGGAAGTTTTGTTTCTACTGTGCTGGGGAATTAAGGGACCGACCAGCTTTCTCGGGTGTGGGAAAATATAGGGGACGACGATGTTCCCACTCCTGAAGCCATAGTGGTGGTGACTGCTGACCGCCCCAGACAATGGTCAAACGCGGTGGCCGTTCAGTAGGGTCATTGGTGGCAGCGGCCGGAATGAGGAAGTACAAAAACATGGGGACCTGGGCACCTCTGGGACCAGTCCCGGGCAAGCCGGAGGTGATGGAGAGATATTCAGGGGTGGCTAATTCTCAGCACGTAACTCAGAGGCAGTTTGGGTGTGGAAAGAGAGTAGCACTCCATCTGGTAGTCACAGGTCGGGGAGGACTAGACCTTTGAGTTGAGGAAAAACAAACTTTCTCAACAGGAAGGTCCGCAGGAGGGGGTCATTGGAAAGATGTCGGGAGATGCGTGGGTGTTGTGAGGGGAGGCGAGGACCACATGATGTGACCACACTAGGAGCTAATTAAGGGTTTCCTCGCCTCCTGAGAGTGAGATTAACGACGTGCAACTGTGCCGATGTGACATCTGTGTAAAATGATGCGGTCAATTCACTGAGCACCTGCCGTGCACAGACGTGGCGCTGGGTGTCCCGTATGCACCGTCGCATGTGATGCTCCGACGTCACCTGAGGCGGGTCGTTACCCCATCTTGGAGATGAGGAAACTGAGTCTCTGAGAGTCAAGTGCTTTCTCCAAGGTCACACAGGTAGAAATTGCTAGAACTACTCAACCGGTGTTCAACCAATGTTACTTAGGATCCTGCTTTCAGGTTCAGAAGTCTGCAAAAACATAGTAGAAGTCCCTTCTGAAGGGACAGGTAGGCACGTTTATTGATTCTTGAGTTTTGTGACAGTGAGACCATCCTTTAGCCCATGAGAGGGGGACAGTGAGAGAGGAAAGGAACTAGAGAGAGTATGACACAGAGAGTGATGTCGCGTCCCTCTCCCGGGGACCTCCACAGCTGCTTCTAGCATGGATTCTGTGGCTGCTCCAGGCTGTCACTGGTTTTGGCGTCTCCTATTGAAAATGGTGTACCCAGCCACAGTCAGCACTCCCAGCAAGATGGCACTGCCTCCTCCCACCACGTGATGCTTGGCTCTTTCCACCTGCAAAGCAAGCAGCTCTTGCTGAGACGCCACAGAACGCCCAGGCTGGCTCTTTCTCTCTCCCAGGGCCTGGAACTCCTCTCTCTCTCCTCTGTCCCCTGCCCTCTCCTGCGGCCTGGCCTCTCTTCTCCTCTTCCCTCCCAGGGGCCAGCCCTGAGTCCTCTCCCAGGGGAGGCTGCTGGCTGTGTCCCCAGGGACTCCGTTTTCCGGGATGTGACTACTTCTTAGTGGTGGGCTTGTCCTGACAAGGGGCTGATGGGATCCTTTGGAGAGAGTTTCCTGGGTGAGTGGGCAGGGACGAGGGTTCGTGCCTGGTTTCCTGGGGTCAGAGCTCCAGGGTCCAGACTGGGCCCGCATGGGGTCTAGATTCTCGCTGAGCTACCTCCTTGCGCGGGGTGGTGGTGGGGCTGTGGCCGAAGCTGAGAGGGGACATTGGGAGGCAGTGCTCTTGGGGTCTCTGTGCCCTGCTCACAAGTGCAGGTGGGAAACCTCCATCCCCAGCCCCACCTCAGCCCGAGCCCCAGCTCTGCTCCTCATCTCCGCCGGACATCTCACGGGGAACCTCACACATCACAGACACACCAGACTCCCGATTCCCTGCCGCAAACCTGCTCCCCCGCTGCCAGCCCCCATCCGTGCAACCATGCAGCCCAGGGCCCAGAGGTGCTGCGGGGTCAAGACACAGGCAGAGACTCTAGAAAGGGATGGTGGGGTTTTGTTTTTTTGAGATAGGGTCTCACTCTGTCACCCAGGCTACAGTGCAGTGGTGTCATCATAGCTCACTGTAATCTCCAACTCCTGGGCTCAAGCGACCCTCCTGTATCAACTTCCCGAGTAGCTGGGACTACAGGTGTGCACCACGATGCCCGGCTACTTTTTTTCTATTTTTTGAAGAGACAGAGTCTCACCCTTGCTCAGGCTGGTTGTGAACTCCTGGCTTCAAGCGATACTGCAGCCTTGGCCTCCCAGAGGGCTAGGATCACAGAGTGAGCCACTGCGCCCGGATTTGATCTGGTTCTGTCACTAATTCACTGTGTGTTTGGGGGCAACAAACCCGGAAGACTGTGAGGGGACACGGGGTGGAAGCTGTGCCCAGACCTCATGGACAAAGACCCTGAGCTCTCATGGAGGCCCAGAGGCCCTGAGCTTCCTGGGCCTGAGTGCTCTTCAGGAGTACGGGGGACCTGTCCTAGTCCTGCGGTGGCCCAGACTGTCCTGATGACCCCAGGGCTGCAGGAGCTGTTTTCAGCCTGGGTCTTGAGGGGAAGGATCCCGGCAGAGCTGGCCAAGGCCCCAGAGGTCCTTGACCCACGCCCTCTCTGTGCACGGGAAAGCTCTGGCGGGGCTGCATTTGCGTCCTTCACAGAGATGCTCCCCTCTGGCTGCACAGCCCAGTCAGCCCCGCCCCAGGCAGACCTCCCCCAGGACAGGGACCATCCAGAGACCGCCTCACCTGCCTGCAGCAGGGCTTGCCGTATCTCAAATTGGTGACAAAGTGCTCACAGTTCTTGCTCACAATACTATACTCCATTTCCTCGCCCACCATCTCCCTCGCAGATTTGATGATGTCCTGCACAGGCCGTGGTCTGCTCGTGCTGTCCCGGTGGTTGTTGACCTGGTAGCGACAGCCCGCCACCACGTCCTCCAGGCGCTCCAGTTTCACCACCGCCCTGCTGCTCAGGACGGAGAAGGCGCTGGAGCTACCAGCCCCGGGGTACTCACCTGCAAGCAGAGACACTCTCACTGGGGGCCGCAGGGCGGGTGGGGGTGGGGGCCGACGGGCGCGAGGCCAGGAGGGGGAGAGGAAGCCACTCTGGAACTGTCGGTGTGGACCTTTCACACGTGTTTGCAAGAGTCACCGAGCTGCTCTTGTTTCATACGTGTGAATGTTTGTTCCAGTCCGTGAGTGTCACGGGTAGCAATGGCTGCCACTATTCCGCTCTGGGCACGGACATCATGTATTTATTGGCCAATGCCCTATTATCAGTCATTTAGGTATTTGAAAATTTTCTCCGTTATAAAGAAGGACGGTGAAGCGTATTTGTTCCTTGTTCAACTCTGTGTCCCTGGGTGTTTCAAAAAGATCCCATTCGGTCGGGCGCGGTGGCTCACGCCTGTAATCCTAGCACTCTGGGAGGCCGAGGCTGGAGGATTGCTTGAGCTCAGGAGTTCGAGACCAGCCTGAGCAAGAGCGAGACCCCCGTCTCTACTATAAATAGAAAGAAATTAGCCAAACAACTAAAAATAGAAAAAATTAGCCAGGCAGGGTAGCACGTGCCTGTAGTCCCAGCTACTTGGGAGGCTGAGGCAGGAGGATCGCTTGAGCCCAGGAGTTTGAGGTTGCTGTGAGCTAGGCTAATGCCACAGCACTCTAGTCCAGGCAACAGAGTGAGATTCTGTCTCAAAAAAACAAACAAACAAACAAACAAAAAAGATCCCATTTGCTTTGGCACCCCCTGTGTTTCAGTGACTACACTGTGCTCTTTTCATATATCACCTAATTTAATCTCCTTTTTAACTTTCAAGGGAAGCATTATGATCTCCATGTAACAGGCAATACTGGGCCAGAGAGCCATTAGCAGACTTTTGTGTGCTGTGAGAAGTCCTGGTAGTGAAAGTCTAGGGTAACTGCAGACTGCTTCTGTCCCACTGAGCAGAAACTTCGGGAATCCTTCGCAGAAGATTCCTCTGTCCCATGACCTGACACAGTGCTAGGCACATGGACAGGGGCACAGAAGAGCTAATAACCAGTGGTCCAAATTCCATTGCATCGCGAGTGCGGGAGTTATTTTTATCTTTACTAGAAGAGACAGTAGCGAGTGAGCACAAGGGTTAGGCATGTTTTCTCCAGTCCTCCCATTTCTAATCTCTAGGGTGATGTTTGCACTTTGCACCCTCTTAAGAAAGTTGTCTTAGGAAAACAGTCCACACCCTGGGAGTTAGGCACAAGAGGGACCATGTGTCCTCACTGTCACGGGCTGTCTGGATTAAGTGGACTTGGTTTGCTATTTATCGTCAATTCAGACTTTTTTATCAACTCTGCCAAGGAAGCTGATAGGTTGTAGAAAACTGCCAAGATGCAGATGTATTGTTCTGATACTGATGACAGTGATTTCTGTCCAGGTGCAATGCAAATGCTTAGCAAAAAGAGAGCATTAAAAGCTACGGTGGCATTGCTCTGGAGGAACCCAGTGGGCATCTAATTTGTCAGTCTCATTCCAGCATCCTGTCCTTCCCGCCCATCGACTATCCACACACCTATTTCCTGCAATCTCCTTTCAGCTGGCTTTGTCATCTTGTTGGTTCTCTCGTTAATGAGTTAAATAAATCGACTTGTGCTCACTGTGCATTTATATGACAATTTTTAAAAACGTGTAAACCTGTGGGAACTGCTTCTGTTAAGGAACCTAAAGTACATAATGTGAAGACACCTTGTTCTGTGAAACTGTGTGGCACAAAGGACAGCGTGGAGCAACACAGTTCTGTATGAGAAACCTTCTTTAGGACCGTAGACCTTCAGAGCCCTATCAGACTCTGCACACCAGGGGACCTGGCTGTGAGCTGCACAGACCCGAGTGCCGCAGCAGCCCAGCCTCCCTGTGGGGGGCGGTGGCCTCTTCCCTGCTCTGCCGGGACCTCTGGGATGTAGGGCACCCAGGGGACGTACATCTACACGATCTCCTCTAGCATTCTCCATGGAGAATGTGTCTCCCAACTCGAGTGTTCCTCGCTCAACTCTCTTTCAGTGGTTCTCAGTGTCTTATGAACAAGTATTTTGAACATTACATTTTCAATAGTCCTTACTTGGAGGAGCCAGATGGACCACGTAACCGTCGCCCACATAGATGGCCCAGTGCTGATAGCCAATGCGAAAAATCTCGATCAGGTCTCCAGGCTTGGGCTCTTGGCGTGACTGCAACATAAAAACCAGAGACGGTGCAGCCGGCCTTCTAGGCACCAGCACAGCCCTTGGCTGGGGGGCTGCAGCCTGGCCCGGGAACCCCTTACTGATGGCGTCACCTGGTGAGACCCTGGGGAGAAAGAGCTCCTGTCCCCTGTGAGACCCTCAGCCCTGCGGTCACTTTTAGAGGCTCCCCTCAGTGGGGCACAGGGAGCTGGAAGCCTGGACAGTGACCTCGTGGATGGCAGGGAGGAGGTTCGTCTGGGCGAGTGTGGAATGTGTGTGTGTGTGAGTGTGAGTGTGTGTGTATGTGTGTGCACGCGCGCAGGCTGAGGGTGCAGGTGCGCATGCACGGGCGCCTGGTGCACGTGCTCCGGAGCAGGCTGACACGAGCCCTGCACGTACAAGCGCCTTCGCGGAGGTGGGAGCAGCACTGGGAAGGCCAGGCTCAAGCTCTCTGCTGTTCACAGGCTGCCTTCAGCGTCTCATGTCTCCTCCTGCCGGGTGCTTGTCCCCAAGAGAGACCTCCTCCTCACACCCTGCGCCCATCCAGCCTCGGGACACCCATGCCTTGGAGATGACGACCTGTGAGATGCGGATGACAGCACCCTGATGGGGCCTGAGCCTTAGGGTGGGGTCTTGTGGAGCCCCTGGCTCCCAGCCCCGAGGGGCAGCTGCACTCACAGGGCAGCCTCTGCTGGGCACTCGTCCTGCGATCACTGCACCCTCTCAACAGGCCCGGGTTGGGCAGCGCCGTGCCATCGCACCCATGGGGAAACTAGATAAGAGAAGTGGAGGGACTTGCCCGAGAACAGAGAACACTCAGCCGAGGGAGGCCGAGGTGGGCTCCTCTGCTCACTCCTCCCCTGCCTCCCGACCGGCCCCGCCTTCCTCCCTCTTTGTCCTCTCCAGGCACTGACCTAAGGATTGGAGGATTTCCCAGCTTTCTCCCTCTTTGTGCCTGTCCTCTGTGGATGACAAACTTCCCCAATCCTCATGCCAGCAGAGACCAGGGCTCAGCCCACCTTTGCCCTCTTCCAACCAGCGCAAACTCCAGAAGTTTCTCCTGGTTGTTTCCTGGTCCATCTCCCAGCACTGATTTGGCTGGGCAACCCCCTCCCTGCCTCCGTGACCCCCATGGCCCCTGACCGGCCCTGCCTCCCATCCCTGCCACTCTACATCCAGCCCAGGACCCATGGAGGCCTCCCCTGGGCACCTCTGGCCATGACCTTCCTCTGGACTCAGGGTGCAGGACACACCCTGCGGGCAGCTACAGGCCCTTCCTGACCGGCCTCCGTCACCCTCCTCGCCTTCCGTGGGCTCTGCCCCCAAGGCTGACTGAGCCACTGGGCCACCCACCCCCGCACTGGCTCTGGACTCTGCTGCCCTCACATCTAGGGGTCTCTCTGTCCCCACCCCTTCCCCACTCCCACTCCTCCTCTCCTCCCAGACATCCCACACCTGAGGGGCTTCCAGGATGGCCCCAGCCTGGCTCAGCTGCCCCTCCCTGGACCCCAGAACCCCAGGACCTCCCCCTCTCCCTGCAGGATCAGGCCGTGCTGCCGTTCCCTGGGCCTGGGCTGTGCGTTCCACGCGGGCAGGATGCTGTGTGCGCTCCCCTCCCTCCCGGCATCTCCAGGGTCCAGCAAAGGGCCTGGCTGGGGAGTGGGCAGAGGAAACAGACAAGGAAGAGGGATGGGGTCTCAGCACAGCCAGCAAGCGAAACCGCCCTTTACAAATAAAGGGGTGCAAGGGGAGAACTAGGCAAGGGCCTAGCTAAAAATAATATTAGTGATTAGCCACTGTCCCCTTGCTTGCTTCTCCATGATTGCCACTTCTGAAGCCACATACCTGGTGGTCATAAAGACTCGAGGCTTTCTCCGTAGATAAGGAACCTGAAGATAGTTTTTCAGGTATCCCCCAGGGCCTGCATTCCAGTGGATTGGCTAACCCGCCCAGGCCCAGACCGGATGGTTCTGCCCCAACCCAGCCAATTAGCGAACCCAATCGCCTAATCCTTTGCCTGCCAAACTACCTTTAAAACCCTGTCTTTCTGGCCGGGCATGGTGGCTCACGCCTGTAATCCTAGCTTTCTGGAAGGCCGAGGAGGGTGGATTGTTTGAGCTCAGGAGTTCGAAACCAGCCTGAGCAAGAGCGAGACCCCGTCTCTACTAAAAATAGAAAGAAATTAATTGGGCATGGTGGCACATGCCTGTAGTCCCAGCTACTTGGGAGGCTGAGGAAGAAGGATTGCTTGAGCCCAGGAGTTTGAGGTTGCTGTGAGCTAGGATGACACCACGGCACTCTAGCCCGGGCAACACAGTGAGACTCTGTCTTAAAAAAAAAAAAAAAAAAAACCCCCTGTCTTCCCAATTCTCAGGGAGGTGGATTCCAGACATTCCTCCCTGCTCCGCGCTATGTGGGATTTAACTCTTTGTCCTGCTGTCTCAGCATTGGCTTCCCTTTGGGCAGCGGGCAATGAACCTGGCTCGGTGGCGACAGCCGCCTGCCCAGCTCCTCCTCTGCGGCAGCCATAGGCAGGCACATCAGCCGGTGCCCCGCAGGGCCAAGAGAGATGGTCTCTGTCTGGGCATAACCAGTGGACTTTTAATTCTAATGCCAAATATCCAATAACAAGGTCAAGCTCTGTCACCAGCAGCTGGTGGCTAATGAAATGTGAGCCTCAGCCCCCGCGTGAATAAGGAAATGGTCTCAGGTTAACAGAGCCCTGATTTGCTGTGGCAGGAATGAAGACCCTCCCAGAGTCAGGGGATGCTGGGGAGTGGACGCCCCCTCTGGCGTTTGCAGGATCCTTCCCCGAATCCCTTCATTTCTACGAAGAGCCTGAGTGGGCTGCACACCATGGAACTCAGCCAGCTCTGCCTGCAGCTCCTGCCAATCTGCACATCTGCGCTGATGCAAGCCCGGCGGGGCGGGTTTCAGAGTTCAGAACGCTGACATTAGAATGCACCTTTAAGGCAGGACAAATGCCATGGAGGAAAGAGGAGAAAGAAGTGTTTGGGGCTGATAAGGTCAGAGCCCCAGTCAGCAGCCGAGGCAGACATCGTGGGGATTTGTTCCCTGCCCAAGACCGGGGACCCCACGTGCCCACACTCCGGCTTCTCCCCCAGCTGCCTCTGATGAACAGGCCTCCCACTCCGGCAGGCACAGCCCCTGGAACCCATGAGTCTGCCTCCCACACCGAGGCCCTGGGCTCCCCCCACTGTGCCACACACGGAGAGGAGGCCCACTGCCCGGAGACCCCCGGGCCAGGGTCCAGCAGGATAGGTGGATTTTAAAAGACAAATACAGCTTTCCGTGAAAGCTTATCTAAAGATAAGCTCTGGAGTTCAGTGTGCCCAAGGCCAGGAAGCCAGACTGAGGCCTTGACAAGCGGGAGCTGCCCACCCTCCGCAGAGTCAGCAGGGAAAGTTCCCGGGGACTTACCGAAGCCATCTGGACATCCAGGCAGGGTCTGGCGCTCTGCTGCTTAAGGAGGAAACGGCTTGTATACCCGAGTTGAGATTTTCACTTTCACTTTCCTTCTCGCACTGTTCATGCAGCACTTACATACTAAACATAGTTTAACTGAGATTGAGATGACTATAATCTTTAAAAACTAGGTATTTTCTCTAATGGAAAGGCTAATGATTTCTTACATGCAAATGCAGAAACATCGATGCTTTATCTTTATGTCATTTAAAAATTTTTTCATTCATTTTTCATCAGTATGTGTTCCTGGGGTCCAAGTGCAACTTTGCGGCATTGGTATATTGCGCCACGGGGAAGTTGGGGCCCCCAGTGCGCCCGTCACCGGAGCAGTGCACATTGTACCCACCGAGCCACTGCCCGTCATCCACCCTCCCAGCCCCACCTCCCCAACGTATTACTGTCTTGTTGTTGGTCTTTCTCTTTCCATCTGGTAATTTCTGTCTTGCGAATCTGGGTCCTCCGACGCTGGGTGCATTTGTATTTAGGGTTGTTATATCCTCTTGCTGAACCGATGCCTTTATCATTACATAATGACCTTCTCTGTTTTTCTTTCTTTTTTTTACTGCTTTTGATGTAAAGTCTGTTTATCTGATATAAGGGCAGCTACTCCTGCTTTTTGGTTCTTGTTGGTGTGGAATATCTTTTTCCACCCTTTACTTTCAGGCTGTGTTTTTACAGGTAAGGGGAGTTTCTTGTAAGCTGCATGTAGTTGGTGGATTTTTTTGATCCATTCTACCAGTCTATACTTTTAAATGGAGCACTTAACCCATTTACATTCAAGGTTAATATTGACGCGTGAGTCTTTATTCCTGTCATATTGTTAATTGTTTTCCAGTTGTTTCATCAATCCTTTCTTTCTTTCTTTCTTTTTTTCTATTTTTGCTCTTGTGAGCAGTATTTTTCTGTCTTTTTGTCTTTGTGGTTTGATGAAATTCTGTCATGTTGCCGTTTGAGTCCTTTTCTTCCCTTTCAGAGTGATTGTTTTATAAGACCTGTGAGTTTTACGTTTTCCTGTGTTTTCTTGCTGGTGAATGTGGACCTCTTCGAGCATTTCCTGCATGGCTGCACTGGGGGTGATGAATTCCCTCAGTGTTTGCTTGTGTCAACGGAGAAAAGACCAAACTCTGTAAAATAATTTTAAAGTGATTTACTCTGAGCCAAATTCGAGGACCATGACCCGGAGCCATGCCCAAGAGGTCTTGAGCAGTAGACTCAGTGTGGCTGGGTTACAGTTTGGTTTTATACATTTCAGAGAGACAGGGGTTACAGGTAAAGTCCTAAATCAATGCATGGGAGGCATACATTGGTTTGGCCCAAAAAGGCGGGACATCTCAAAGCGGGGGCTTACAAATCATAGGTGGATTTAGGGATTCATTAGTTGACCATTGGCTGAAAGAGTTAGGTTTTGTCCAAAAGACCAGGAATCAGCTGAAAGGAATGTTTGAGGGTCTTTTATCTGTTACATGATGTTATACCAGAATCAGGTTGGGAAATAAACAACGTCATGAAAAACCTGTTTACTGATATTTTATCATTTGTAGGCATGACTCATCTGGCCTCCTTAGGAAGGAATTTCCAGCAAAAGAAAAAGACGGGCTTGTTAATGGGTTACAAAGGATGTCCCCAAGAAGGGAGGGGGGCATGATAAGGCATGTCTGACCTTCCTCCTGGCAGGCAATTTAGTTTTAGGATATTCCTTTGGCCACGAGGGGGTCCATTTAGTCAGCTGGTGGGGGGTGAACCTTAAAATTTTATTTTAGTTCACACTTGTCTGGGGAAGACTTTATTTCTCCCTCATTTGTGAAGCTCATTCTGTCAGGATATAAAATCCCTGGCTTACCGGTTTTTCTTTCAGCACTTTGAAAATGCCATCCCATTTTCTTGAGGCCTGTAAACTTTCTGAGGTGAAGTGTCTGTGAGTCTGATGGGTTTCCCTTTATAACATTTTGTCTTGTTAATTTAAAAATTCCCTCTTTCACTTTGACTTTAGATGTCCTGAATATCATATGCCATGGTGATGTCCTTTCTTCACTATATTTCCCTGGAAATTACTGGGCCTTCTGTTTTGAGATATCTAAATCTCTTGCTATGTTTGGGAAGTTTTCATTGATTATTTCCTTAAATAGCTTTTCTAAACTTTTTAATCACTCTTCCCCCTCGGGAATATTGATAATTTGTAATTTATGTAGACCAAGAAGTCTCAAAGACTTTGTTCATTCTTTTTCATTCTTTTTTTCTTATTGTTGTTAGGGTTTTTTTTAAGATGATATCTATCTCCTTTGTAAATGTCTCATCCATATCCTGAATTCATTTTTCTTTTTTTTTTTTGAGACAAAGTCTTGCTCTGTTACCCAGGCTAGAGTGTCGTGGCGTCAGCCTAGCTCACAGCAACCTCAAACTCCTGGGCTCAAGAGATCCTCCTGCCTCAGCCTCCTGAGTAGCTGGGACTACAGGCATGCGCCACCATGCCCGGCTAATTTTTTATATATATATATATATATTTTTAGCTGTCCAGATAATTTCTTTCCATTTTTAGTAGAGACGGGGTCTCGCTCTTGCTCAGGCTGGTCTCGAACTCCTGACCTCGAGCGATCCACCCGCCTCGGCCTCCCAGAGTGCTAGGATTACAGACGTGAGCCACCGCGCCCGGCCCTCTTTCTATTTTTTTAGTAGAGATGAGGTCTCGCTCTTGCTCAGGCTGGTCTCGAACTCCTGACCTCGAGCGATCCACCCGCCTCGGCCTCCCAGAGTGCTAGGATTACAGATGTGAGCCACCGCGCCCGGCCCTCTTTCTATTTTTTTAGTAGAGATGAGGTCTCGCTCTTGCTCAGGCTGGTCTCGAACTCCTGACCTCGAGCGATCCACCCGCCTCGGCCTCCCAGAGTGCTAGGATCACAGGCGTGAGCCACCGTGCCCGGCCCCTGAATTCATTTTTCAATGTCTTTGTATTAGTTTTCAGATTTCTCTTGCATCTACTGAGCTTCTTTATAATCGGTATGTTGAATGCTTCATCCTGCATTTTGGGGAGCTCGTTCGGATTGGGACCTGTTGCTGCACAATTGCTATTGTCCTTTGGTGGTGTCGTATTTCCTTGCATGTTCACGTTTCCTGTGTCCTTCTGTTGATATCTGTGCATCTGGTATAGCAATCACGTCTTCCAATTTTTTGAAATTACTTCCGGAGGAGAGAATTTTTTCCTGAAGATGTATATATATTGTTGATTCAATAGGAAACTTTGGTTTCGACTTTTGGTGCATCTGGTATTGTGATCTTCATGTGATTTCTTCAGCAGCACCCAGGGTCATCGTTGTCTGTGATCTCTCGAGTGGCTTAGGGTAGGATTTGTAGTCAAGGTGGTGGGGAAGTTTTGCTGGGGTCTTAGATACCAGCTGAGCTACTCTTTGGGCCCCGGTGGTGGCAGCAGTGGGCTGAGAGTCCTTGTTTTTAGGCCCCCCCCAGAGCAGCTTACATGGCACTGGGGTTAGGGGGTCCTGGAGGGCCATTCTTGGGCCTTCATGTGGCTTTCCCTGAAGCTAGTGGTGGCAGCAGGGGGCTGGATGTGTAGGCGGGTTCTCAGTCCCTGCGCGGCTGGCGGGATGTGGGTGACGGCAGTAGCAGCGGGGAGCAGCGCACTGGGATATAAATGGTCCGCGTTGGCGCTGCTGATAGCTGTGATGGGTCTGGCGTGCTCTTCTCCTGTCCCACAGCCACCTGGAGCACTAGGGTGGGTATGACACTAAGTGTGCTTAGGAGAGCTTGGTGTCCCTGTCCCTCCCTCGTCAGGTGGCTTGCATACGGCCGTCTTCTCCTGGTGTCTTCACCTGGTCTTCCTCCATGCGCATCTGTGTCCAAATTTCCTCTTCTTGTAAGAACAGCAGTCATGTTGGTTAAGGACTCACCCTAATGACCTGGTTTTAACATCATTACCTCTTTAAAGGCCCTGTCTCCAAATACAGTCACATTCTGAGGTCTTGGGGATCAGAACTTCAACATATGAGTTGACTTTGGGAGGACAGAATTCGCCCCATAACATGGAGCCACCAGGCTCCCTGCTAAATGGAACTGGGGAGAGAGAAGTGAAGAAGGAGCAGGTTTTTGCTTTGAGCAACGAAAGGAAGGAGCTGAGATGCAAAGGCTGCAGCTGGAAGAGGTTTGGGAAGATCAGGAGTCCAGTTTGGAAGTGCTGGGTTTGAGAGACCTATCAGACACGCTGTAGGGATGTCGGGGGCGCGGTGCAGCTGGTCCTGGAGTCCGGGGTTCAGGAGAGAGGTCTGGGCTGGGGACGGTTAAGCCATTAGGCTGCCAGAGGCCAGCAAGGGAGCTGTGAAGTCAGAAACTCTGAGGGGTCTGAGATGCTACTTTCAAGCTCATGCAGCAGCCACAACAACACCTCGGCACCGGTTCCACAGCCCAGTCCCCAGGTGGCAGTGCGGTGAGAGCCAGATGTCACCTGGCTATGTGGCCAGGGTGTGTCTCAGGGGAGGAAACCCCAAATCCTGATGCCGAAAGTTTTTTTAGGGAGACTGGGACGTCGGCCCCTCCCACCCTCTGCAGAGAAAGAAAGAGACCTTGTCTTTACCCTGGAATGCAAACAGTCCCCTTGGGAGGTGTGTTGGGGGGCCCCAAGACCAGCCCCAGGTTTGATGACTCAGTATGAGGACTCACAGGACTCAGCAGAAATGGCCACTGACTCTGTGGTCTCGGGCCTTTCCGAGGCAAGATGTTCTTTCCTCAAGTGATATTGATCCTCGAGATTCTTGCAAAGCCTCCCTGAAAGTGGGTGTGCCACGTGGTATTTTGTGAAATGTCTTCAGGAGGGTCTGAAACGCAGCAGGGTGAGGACCTCTGCTTCAGGCCGTGCAGAACCCGGGGTGTGCCCGGGCCCCTCTACATGGGTAACTGTCCCTGGGCAGTCCCCAACCACAGCTAACTCAGCCCCTGGGGAGGATTAGAGACCAGCCAGCCGAGAGCTGGGGTCTGAACAATGGG